GATCTCCCTGTAGGCCCAGCTGTTCTGGAACTTACTATGTAGACCAGGCTGGCCTTGAACTCACAGAGATCCACCTGCCTCTGCCTCCCGAGTGCTGGGATTAAAGGCGTTCGCCATCACTTCCAGCCCTAGAATATTTTATTATTTTTATTATTTTTTATTTTATGTGTATGAAGGTATTGCTTGCATGCATGTAAGTGTACCCTTGTCATGCAATACAAGGTCAGAGGAGGGCATTGGATCCCCAGAAGTAGAGTTATGGATGGTTGTTAACCACCATGTGGGTGCTGGGAACTGAACCCAGGTCCTCTGTAAGAGCAGCCAGTGCTCTTAACCGCTGAGCCATCTCTCCAGCCCCACAGTGGCTGCTCTTGTAGAGGACCCAGGTTTAGTTCTCATCACCCACATGGTGGCTAACACTCATCCTTAACTCCAGTTCTAGAGGATCAGACACCCTCTTCTGGCCTCTGAGTACTGCATGCATGTGGTACACATATTCATGCAGGTAAAATACTCATACACATAATATTTATTTATTTTTTTTTTTTGAGACAAGGTCTCCCAATAGCCCTAGCTCATAGGTAGGACACGTGGACATGAGAGGAAGCTGACTCCTCTGCAGCCCCCAAGCCATGGAACCTTTACTGAAGGTCTGAAATCCCACTTGCCTGGGTTTGGGTGGCTTTTTTTCCTGAAGCTTGTCTGGCCCCTTTTCTTTCAGGCTGAGAAAGCTGACGCTATGACTCTTGATAGCAGTTTACTGTTTGATGCAGGACTGGCTCCCTACAAGCTGCGACCAGTAGCAGCTGAAGTTTATGGGACCAAAGATAGTGAGTTTTCCCTGGGGGCTCTGAAATCTGGTGGCCGTGGCCATGGCCTGGGAGCTATGGAATGGGAATGGATGGGCACACAGAGATCAACACCATGCTTCTGGGAACTGAGTTGCTGGGCTCTTTGGACTGAATAAAGCAGATCCTCCCAAAGGAAGTGGCCCCTTCTTACAGGGACTTGGTTGCAATGGTTGCTTCTCTCCCTCTCACCCAGGCTGAGACCTGTCTATTCTCTCTCCCCTTTGCAGAACCGCAAACCCACTATTATGCTGTGGCTGTTGTGAGGAACAGCAGTAACTTTAATCTGAGTCAATTACGAGGCCTGAAGACATGCCACACAGGCATTGGCAAGAGTGCTGGATGGACTGTCCCAATAGGGACACTTCGTCCATTACTGGACTGGGCAGGACCACCTGCTCCTGTTGAGGAAGGTAAGATGACAGGTGGGGGATTGATAGTCGGTGATCTTAGGCCCCTGAATAGATCTCTCTCTGTTCCTGTTGTATACACTTTGAGATCACATGGGTGTCCATGTGGGGTGAGTCCAACCAGCTGGAGCATGCACTGGCAGGGGCCATCACACCAGCAGCCTTTGGGAGATGCCAGGGGGTATGCTCTGGGTAAAGATGCATATTTGAGTTCCCAAGCCCAACCCAGAAGCTGCCCTGTCGTACAGGGTAGAGGAAGGGGCTCTCTTCCTATAAGGGGCACTATTGAGAGACAAGACTGCTGTGGCCAGGGCTGGCCAACATCTGTGGTCTATTTCTCTGCATTCAACAGCTGTATCCAAGTTCTTCTCAAAAAGCTGTGTTCCTGGTGCTGACAAAAAACGCTTTCCCAACCTGTGTAGTCTGTGTGCGGGGAAAGGAGCAAACAAATGTGTCTCCTCTTCCAAGGAACCTTACTCTGGCTACTCAGGTGCCTTCAAGTGAGTGACACTGTCCTTTTTCCCCAGTGGCCCATGGCTGGCCTCAGGCCAGGAGGTCCTTTCCACTGGTCCCATTAGTGCTTAGCCTGCTCGAGGGACACAGAGATGTGGTTCTCCTACTAACTGACTTCTGCCCCCTCCCCTAACCATTCTATATCGAAGGGGGTTGTGGGGAGATATGAAATCCCAGGTTCCCACCTGGGCCCCTCCCCAGAGTAGAGGAGTATGAACTCTGCCTGACTTGCCCTTCCTGCCTTTGCAAGACCAAGCTGCCTCCTGTCCCATCTATACCTGGGACTCAGGCACTTCATAGAGTGACTTCCTCACCTTGCTGCCCTAGGCACATTTGCACACTCAGTCTGAGAGAAAGAGCCATATGGTTGGAATGCTAAACCTGTTTTCTCATTTTACAGGTGTCTGAGGGACAATGCTGGAGATGTGGCTTTTACCAGGGAGAGTACAATATTTGGTAAGGGGAAGGGGAGAGGCCATGGGTGCTGCCCCCTTTTATGTTATTTCGTCATAATTCCGAATGTGTGGGCTATCAGATCCTTAGTTCCTGGCACACTATCATCAAGTTCCCTACAAGCCCCAACTCCTATTTTAGATTCCTGAAATCTCCCATTCCCATTCTCTTTCCCCCTCACAGCCACTACCACCAAGGTGCTTGACATATGTCCTCCAAGATGTATGTGGCTTTGCAAAATGGACTTCACTGGCTTCTGTCTCTGGGTTCTAAGTTCACACAAGTTTTACTGAGCATTAGAAGCTATGCTAGCCCAAGGTTTTCCACTTAGCACTGAGGGTCAGTGATTGATCTGTGGTTTTGATTTGTGGGTAGCTTGGTGGTTCTGACAGTAGAGGAATGATCTGTGGAACACATCCACCATTATTTTACTTCTGCCACCTTAGTGATGGGCAGCTGGGGATGGTTGTCCTCTCTGCCATACACAGCTATGTGTCTGTCTTCTGTCTACGTGCTGCTAGGGATGTAGAATGAACATAATTGTTAAGTATGTATAGGCTGGATGCATTGTACCCAGAGATAAGCTAATGCAGTCTCAGAACCTCCAGAGATGTCACCACTGGACCATTAGAGACAGGACACCACAGTCCCCAGGACCGAGAGAGAGAGAGAGAGAGAGAGAGAGAGAGAGAGAGAGAGAACCACAATTTTAATGACCTTTAGAAATAGACCACTATGGTCCCCAGGAGGCCAAAGAGAGGTCACCTGTTCTAGTTTGCTTTCTGTTGCTGTGATAAAACACTTATCAAAAGCACCTTGGAGGAGAAAAGGGCTTATTTGTCTTAGACATCCACATCATGGTCCATCATTGAAGGAAGTCAAGGCAGAAACTCAAGGCAGGAACCTGGAAGCAGGAACTGAAGCAGAGACCATGGAGGAATGCTGCTTACTTGCTCAGTTTTCCTTCCTTCCTCTCTCTCTCTCTCTCTCTCTCTCTCTCTCTCTCTCTCTCTCTCTCTCCACGTATGTGCATTTATGGGCTCATCTGTGCTCGTGACATCAGAGCTTTGAAGAAGAAATTTCTCACAGAGATCCACCTGCCTCTGCCTCCTGAGTTCTGGGATTAAAGGTGTGCACCACCAACCACACAGGCTCAGTTATTTTTCTTATACAGCCTAGGGCCACCTTCCCAGAAATGGAACCACTCACAAGGTGCTGGGACCTCCTACATCAATTAACAATCAAGAAAATGCCTCACAGACATGTCCAGAGGCCAGTGATGAAGGAAATTTCTCAGTTGAGGGTCCTACTTCCTAGGTCACTCACTCAAGTTTGTGTCAAGCTGACAAAAAGTAACCAGCACACCATCAGGACTCCAGAGAAAGGCCACCACAGACCTACCTCTTAAGCATGTGTAACTGTGTCAGGCATTATACACCTTTTAAAAAATATCTTTGATACAGAATACATTTTTTTTTCTTATTGTGAATCTTAAGCAGTTTTTGAGTTAATTGCCACTTATTCAATATAAATTAGTTGTTATTGCAGCTAATTCTGTATTATTTTGTTTTGTAATTACTAAAAACACTTGAGTTTTGCAGGTTGACCTTGTAACTTGCTACCTTTTTGAACTCTGTTTTTAAGTTTTATTAGTTTCCTGTTGGTTTTATTGGCTTTTCTAGATAGATGGCTCTTATCTTTTTGTTTGTTTATTTGTTTTGAGACAGTGTCTCACTATATGGTCCTTGCTGGCCTGGAACTCACTATATAGACCAGGCTGGCCTGGAACTCACAACAATCCTCCTGCCCCTGAGTGCTGGAGTTAAAGGCTTGGGCTACCATGCCTGGCAATTGGCTATTGTCTTTAAAGATTAAACTTTTCTTTTTCCTTCCATTGTTTATAGCTCTCATTTCTTTTCTTATTTTTTATTTGCCATAGTAAACCCAGGGTCCTGTACATGTTAGGCAAGCACCCTCCCACTGAGCTGTACCTGCTCCTCTTGTTTTCCTCTTTTTACTTTAATTTAAAAAAAAAATTTGTGGGGGTGTAGGTGGTATATGTGAACATGTGTGAGCTCACCTGTTTGGCTAGACTAGCTGGCCAGGGAGACCCAAGGATCCTCCCGTCTCTATCCTCCCAGTACTGAGATTCTAAGTATGTGTCACTGCCTCTCACTTTTTTTTACATGGTTCTGGAGGATCAAATTTACGCCTTCATGCTTGTGCAGCAAGCACTTTAATGACAGAACCATCTCCCTAGTTCCAAATTCTTGAAATTTTTACTCTTCCCAGAGATATGAATGAGGTAGCCCCCCACTTTGAACTTTATCTATCTATCTATCTATCTATCTATCTATCTATCTATCTATCTATCATCTATCTATCATCTGTCTATCTCCATATATATGTATGTATATATGCATGTATGGCCCTCTCTTTGTTTTTTGAGACAGGGTTTCATATAGCTCAGGCTGGTCTCAAACTTGCCATGTAGACAAGGTTAGCCTTGAGCTCCTAATCCTCCTGCTCCCACCTCTCGCTTGCTGGGACTGTATACAAATGCATTGACTTCTTGGGCATTGACTTCTGTCTCTTTGAAATGACCTTTTCTACAACAGGCTATGGAGACCCAGATGGAACTTGTCTGCCACCTTGGCTCACTGGGAAGCTGCTGCATCAGAGCCCAGGGATGTCAGTGCAACGTAGTCAAAGATCTGCTCTTAGCATGCCTGGGGACTTTCTGGAGACTTCTCTTTACCTTTCTGAGTGTTCAAGAACAGTTCAGTTTTTCTGACTCAGTTTTGTCAACTTTGTGGGGTGTCTCTTGTAGCTCAGAGTCCTATGAGGAGAAGGAGCCACAGCTCACAGTAACTGGCTCATCTGGGCCCGTTCCCATTTCCTTTCTCCCAGAGAATCTACCAGATAAGGCTGAAAGGGATCAGTATAAGCTTCTCTGCCCAGACAACACCTGGAAGCCCGTGGACAAATACAAGGAGTGCCACCTTGCCCAAGTCCCTTCTCATGCTGTTGTGGCCCGAAGCGTAAACGGCAGGGAGGATGACATCTGGGCGGTCCTCAGCCAGGCACAGGTACATCCGCCTACAGTCCTCCCCACCTGCTTAGGTCTAGGGATGGGAGGAAGTCTCCTACCCTAAGGTCTGCAGTCTCACAGCAGAGTTCACTAGCTTAGGGACTGTTTGCACCAACTCTGCCCTGGACAGCATACACAATAAAACCTCCTCCAGCGTCAGCTCCTGGCAGGATCTCCTGGGCTACAGCAGACACAGAGGAGAACAAAGTGATATTCTAGGGTCCTCAAGGAGCTTGGACCACAAGAATTTTCCAGAGAGTAAGCATAGTTGGGCTTGTGTGCCTGTGAGGCAGAGAGTCCCTGGGGAGCATGTCCACTGAGATTGCTACTCCATTAGAATCATCCCCCAAGCTCCAGGCACTCATTTCCCACATTGGCTTTTGATTCCTTCTGACATACTGCTACACCATAATTCTGTTTTTCCTTATGTAGGAAAAGTTCGGAGAAAACAAATCGTCAGAATTCAAGCTCTTTGGCCCGTATGCTGGGAAGAAGGATCTGCTATTCAAGGATTCTGCCATTGGTTTTGAAAGGATTCCCTCGAAAATAGACTACAGGCTCTATCTGGGCTTCAACTACTTCCATTCCATCCAGAACCTGAAGCAGAGTAAGTGAGCCCCAGGAAGGGTTCTGAGGGTGCCGGGGCAGGCTATGAGCTGTGGGTAAGCTCTGCTCTGTAGAAGTCACACTTCCATCTCCTGACATGGAAGTGTCTTCCTTAAACCACTCAGAGTCATTGTGAGAAGTGTTTCCAAGACTGTCCTTGGCACTAGAGTTGTTTCCATATTCCCCTGTGTGCGATAGGATCCCAGGCCTCCTGCTAATTTAGAAATAAGAACATGAACCAGGACAGCTAGGTTCTGGCGGATTACACCAGAGGTTTAGGGGAGCACCCCCTTCATGCCGGGCTTTGGACTTGGTTGGGGGATTGCAATGGTTTGAATGAACTTGGCAGTGGCTCTCCCACTACTGGGGGCTTGGAGTGGGAGTCTGAGTGAGCCAGGAGTCTGTATTACGGTATGTGGTGGTGACTGTGGGCTTTCTGGGTGGTCACAGCTGGGTCAAGGTCTTCTAAGCCAGCTGTTGGAGTGGGCACTGGTTTCTGTGTCCCAGAGCTTTTATTCCAAGGAACAGAGGCATTTTAGGCACGTAGTGACACTAAAGATTGATGGATAGACTAGAAGCCAAGGAACACTGGGGTCAGAAGCAAGGGTTGGAGAGCTGAGATGCGGGAAGAAGAGCAGCATGTCTCAGTCATCCACGGGAGGAAGACTCTCCTGTCTCAGGGAAGAGCTGAACAGGAACTTGGATCCACCGAGGGCAGAGGTGGGACTGAGACAGTGCCCGAGTGCTCCTCACAAGACTCAGGGCCTCCTGCCCACCTGCTGTTGACCCTCTCCACAGAGAAGCAGGACTCGGAAGCCAGACGTACCCAGATCGTGTGGTGTGCGGTGGGGAATGAGGAGCAACTCAAGTGCGAGAAGTGGAGCCGAGTGAGCAATGGCAGGGTAGCCTGCTCCTCGTCCCTTTCCACAGAGGACTGCATTACCTCCGTCATGGTAGGGAGCTGGCATCCCATGGCGGGAGGGCAGTGGGCTTCTGAGAGGGCACAGGACATCTGCTTACTGTGAAGTTGGGCACCCAAGAGGCCCCTGAAAGGGGAACACATGATGCACCAAGGGGCACCATTTAACCTTGAAAACCTTTGTTGTGGGGTTTCCACGCTTATTATAAGAGCAGCTTAAGATTATTGGGAGTGATTTGGAAAATATGGGATGGTTTGGCATTAACACACACAAGCATGCACCCACGCACATATGCACACATGCATGCACAAGCCACCTGTGGTCTCCTACAGAGACACCTATGTTGAAAGTTCTGATAATTCTCCACTCCAGATTTCTGGGTATATGTAGCATGGATTAATCCCAGATTGTTATATAGTTATATACTACATTAGTTATATAGTATATACTCTACTATATATACTGTATTGTTATATTGTTATATACTATCAGTTATATCGTTTTTTGACCCCTTTATCTATGTATGTGTGTGCATGCATGTGTGTGCACATGCCTTGTGCCAATTTGCACATGTGGATGTTAGAGGATAACTTGCAGGAGTCAGTTCTCTCCTTCTACCATGTGGGTCCCAGGGATCGAGCTCAGGTTGTCAGGCTTGGAGAGAGCTTGAGCCATCTCTCCAGCCTTGACTCCTTTTTATTAAACAGTATATCATAGGCATTTTCCAATACCAATACTTTTTCTTGGGAAAAATTTTTAATTTTATTATTTTTACTTTTTTATGTGTATGAGTGTATTGCCTGCATGTGTACAAGTGCACCTGTGTTGTGCAATGCTTTCTGAGGTCAGAAGAAAGCATCGGATTCCCCTGGAACTGGAGTTTCAGATGGTTGTTAACTGCCATGTAGGTATTGGGAACTGAACCCAGATCCTCTGCAAGAGCAGCCAGTGCTCTTAACTGCTGAGCCACCTCTCCCATTGGGAAGCATTTTTAAAATAATGATTTCAGAATATCTTTTAGATGGACAGACTGAGTTTATTCATGACCCTGTTCTTTTTTCTCCCCATCTAGTTTAATATCCATAACCTTATGATGAGTGTTATTGAATAGAAACCTTTATTCACAACTAATTATTTGAAATATAGTTGTAGAAAATTATTACTGGGCTAAGAACGTTGCACTCTTGAGGAATTCATGTTTGTGCACTGGAGTATGGCTTGTTTGTTCTGATCCAGAGACAATTCAACAGGCAACTTCTGGGTAGCACTTTGAGTGTGGTGTTAATGGGCAGAGACTAGCTGAGGCCACCTGTTCCCGTCTGTGTCCTCCACACATGTATGTGGCTGGTTCAGAAAGGTATCCCAAGGGTGCTTAGGCATAGAAGGGGTTTTGTTCAGAAGACAGGGGGTTCGTGTCACAGGTGCCTGGGGGGTTCCAGTTGAATTGACAGCACAAAGGCAAGTAGGAATGGTGGAGAATTAGCACACACATGGCATTTCCTTTGGGTGTTTGGTTCAAGCGACCTGTGGCATGAGGCCATCCCTCAGAGCTATAGAGACAGGCAGGATGGGAAATGGCTCTCTGTGGTGAGTGACCTGCTTTTTCTCTGCAGAAAGGGGATGCTGATGCCATGAGTTTGGATGGAGGGCTTATCTACATTGCTGGCAAGTGTGGTTTGGTGCCTGTCCTGGCAGAGAACCAGAGTAAGTGCAGGTGGTGTCTCCTCCAGGTTATTCCATATGGGGTGGGGGTGGGGAGGAGTGACCTCTCTCATTCTGGAGAAGATGGGTGGAAAACTCAGAGGAAAGAATAAACAAAGGGGCCACATTATACCCCTCCCGGAAAACTGTGTTGAGAATTGACAAAGCACAGATTGGTTTTGATTAAAAACCATTTTCAGGCCAGTGAGGTGGCTCAATAGGTAAAGCTGCTTGCTTCCAAGCCTGATGACTTGAGTTCCATCCTTGGAGCCTACACGATGGGAGGAGAGAACTGACTCTAGCAAACTGTCCTCTGTCTTCCACACACAGGCTGTGGTGTGTGCACATCTATACACCTACACAGATATACAAAATAAATGAACATTATTTTTTAAAAATGTAAAAAAAATAGCAATACACTGGACCAGGCATGGTGGCATACAGTTTTAATACCAGCACTCAGGAGTGAGAGGCAGATGGGTCTCTGAGTTCAAAGCTAGCCTAGTCTACATAGTGAGTTCCAGGCCTGATAGGGCTACAGGGAGACCCTGTTTAAAAAAAAAAAAAAAAAGAGGACTGGAGAGATGGCTTAGCAGTTAAGAACATGTACTTCTCTTTTATAGCACAAAAGTTCAATTCCCAGATCACCTTGCTTGTTTTTTAGATTAATGGAAAAAACATTGTGTGGCATGTGTTTTAAGTCTGACTTGTCTTGCTCCGTGTTAATTTTATGACACCCACATAGTGTAGTTGTAGCTCATTCTGTCTCATGCTTACATGATATTCTATTATGTGATTATGCCATAATCATTCACCTGTGTCACTATGGGTGGACATTTGGGTCGTTTCCTGCTGGTAGGTATCGTGAGGAGTGCTGCTGTGGCCATCTGTGTCCACGTCTTCTGGTGAAAATGCATATTTATTTTTGCTGCATGGAATGCTGGAACAGTCTCTTTGAATTTGAGCTTGCATTGTGGGGATTTAAAAGTTTGTGACCTCTCAGTAAATCTGGATTTTAATAATACTTTGCTTGTCTTTGTTCTTTCAGAATCCTCCAAAAGCAGTGGCTCTGATTGTGTGAATAGACCAGCGGAAGGTGAGACGGAATCAATCACTTCCAGGATCAAAAATAAGTTCTTGTGGTGGGAACATAAAATCCAATTACAGAGAGACTTGGCCCTAAAAACTATTATTTAGAAATACAAAAAATTAATAGAGGAATAATTATAATGTCTGTATCAGCCATCACAGATGGCGGAGCTCCTCAAGGTGCAGGATTATGTGGAAAGGGGAATGCTACTTCCCTATTCTATGTTTGAAGATACAGTAGTCCAGGGAGTCCCCCAGCACCTCAGCTCTCACTCACAGCTATAGATGTGCTACTGCAGAGCCTGGCTTTGAACTAGGGCTTCTTGTGCCAAACCCAGGGCTCTCTGCACTAGCCCTACCTCTCTCCAGAGCTGGAACTTGCTCAGCTTTGGAAGACTTGGCACTTGCCCTCAGTGGGGGTGTCAGATGCCTTTGACAGGAGAAGGTTGGCAAGCATGTTAACCTCTTCACTGTGCAGGGCTGGTTAGACTCAGCCCAGGGTGGTCCTTGGACACATGCACCCCTGGGTCTGTGCAGCAGCTGGTCTGGTGACCATCACTGCCACAACTGCAGGTGGCAGCTTGTGTATCATCAGGGCCACTCTTGTTTGTTGCCTACAGGTAAAGGTTTATAACTCAGAAAAATTATGTGGCTTGTTGAGGACAGTACCTGCAGTCACTTAAGGGATCAGTTTTTCTTGCTATTTTATTACATAACTCAGATCAGTCTCTCCTTACCACTTTTGTTTTTGGGGTCTACTTAACAATGGTCAGTGATTGAGAGGAATCTATAATTGTTGCCTCTTGGCCTGGGTTGAAGATTCTGCACTAGAATTCACGTGACCCCTGGAGGTTAAGACTGGCTCTCTGTCATCCGTTGTACAAGGGTATTTTGCTGTGGCAGCAGTTAGAAAATCGGATGCTGGCTTTACCTGGAACTCTCTGAAAGGCAAGAAGTCCTGCCACACAGCCGTGGACAGGACTGCAGGCTGGAACATCCCAATAGGCCTGATTGCCAACCGGACGGGCTCCTGCAAGTTTGGTGAGGATGTGTGAGGGTGTTGTGGGAGGGCCATCCTGGCCAAGGGGATGGGGAGGATGAGTACTTTGGGTTGTAGAACCTCAAGGAGAAGAGAGGGCAAGGAGAATGCAGACTGGCTGTGGCCTGCAGGCTTGTTTTGGAATAATCAAGTTGTCCCCATGGTCACCTTCTGGAGCCACAGATGCACAGGAGGTTTGTAGACAAAACACTTGCAAAGGAACCCAAATAGCTCCAGGACCCGGTGACCAGTGCCCACCTTGGACACATAAATTATGCCCTTCCTTCTGGGACTTGGTGATGTCAGGGCATGAGTCACATTGTCTGTGTGGCTCTCCTCATACTAGCATCTCTTACAGTGGGGCCCCATTGCATTGATTGGGATTTTGGTCCTGGTTGGGGCGGGTTTTGTGTCACTGGTGCTGCTCTTGCCTCTGCCATGGTGGCCTCTGAGCTATTGGACAGCTCCCATCCCTTTCCTGGGCTGACATATGTGGCTCTTCTGAGACAGCAGGGCTTCGAGAATCTGACAGCACGTGACCCTGGCTCGCTAGGGCAGGACTTTCTTGTCACCTTTACGTCTTCTTTGCTTGGGTTAGATCACACAATGGATTGATTCAGGTCAGGTTCATCCGCCAGAGCAGAAGCCCTTCAAACCTCAGAGGCAGGTGTTCATCTGTCTCTTATGTTGGCAAGAATGCAATAAAATGAGCATTTTCAAACACTTTGGTGTGTTTATGCAATCCATGTCTTCTAATGATGTTTCCAGAGAGCTGGCACCCAGACTTCCCAAATATATGTCACTGGCCAGTATCTAGCCACATGGATATACCACCCTTGGGGCACCTGAATTCTAGTCTTTCTACGGAGAGCCTTGGTGCTCAGGGAGAAGGCAGAGTTTCTATTGCTTATTTGAAAAAAAAAAAAAAGTAAAAGGAGAAAGTCAGATCATGGAGTAGGCAGTCAGTAGGGGCTGCTGCTGGGAGATGGTCATCAACCAAGCTCCCACTGAGGTTGTGATGATGAGGCCTTCTGTGTACTTATCACCAACCAGATATCTTGTCCATGCTTACAGTCTGAAGCTTTCCTGATTTTAGTGAGCATCAACCAAGCTCCCACTGAGGTTGTGATGATGAGGCCTTCTGTGTACTTACCACCAACCAGATATCTTGTCCATGCCTACAGTCTGAAGCTTTCCTGATTTTAGTGAGTTATTTGTTGATGGTAGCAAGTCATTCTGTGACAGTGAGTGTGTCTTCTCTGGCCTGGACAGTATACTGAACAGAAACCAAGCTGTGCCACCTTCTGGGTAAAGGTTATTTATGTTGATTCCGGTCAGAAGAGCTAACTTCTCTCATTCCTTCTCTCCAGGAGAATTCTTTGATCAGAGTTGTGCCCCTGGGTCTGACCCCAAATCCAATCTCTGTGCTCTGTGTGTTGGTGATGAGAACGGTGAGAACAAGTGTGCAGCCAACAGCAGGGAGAGATACTTCGGCTACACTGGGGCTTTCAGGTAAGTCCAGAACAGAGCTCCCCCAGCACAAGGCCTCAGCCCTCATGATGACACTGCAGCTCTAGGAGGCCAGGTATGGCCTGTCATAGGAGAGTTAAAGTCAAATGGGGCACCATCAAGAGCACCCCCCCCCGCCACAGTCAACACCCCAGATAGTGGAGGTTGGACAGGAAGGCTGCAGGACCTCAGCTCTGCTGTGTCTTCCCTGTGCCTCAAGTCAGTTGGCCACACTGGGTCTTAGTGTTCTCATCCACTCAATGGGTAGAGAGTGTTGCAGTGTCTGGGGGAAAATTCTTTCCAATAGCCACCACCCTCTCCCCTCACCTAGGTCACCGTTATGTCTTATGTTTTCACTTTTCTGATTTTGGCCTTAGAGGTGGCAAGGAGAGGGGCTGGAGAGACGGCTTGGTGGTTAAGGGTATTTGCTGCTCTTGCATAGGACCCAGGTTCAGTTCCCAGCACCCACACTGGGTGGCTCACAACTGCCTGTAATGCCAGCTCCAGGGATCTGACACCCTCTTCTGGCCTCCATGGGCACGTGATGCCCCTACCTATACACACACACACACACACACACGCACACACACACACACAAATAAAAGCAAAAAATCTTAAAGAAATGATAACAAGAAAGACATATTGTAGCATTATTCTCCAACATTAATATGAAAAATAAACAAAAAATTAGCTTTCAGAACACACAAATTATAACCACTGCATGGGTCATAGTAGTTAGCTACGTACAACCCACGTTTACTTGGCCATTGCTTCTCAGTGGTGCTGTTGAGGGTGTGATCAGCATGTTTAGCTCCTTCCTCTACCCTTCTGGATTCACCAGGAGTATATTTTACCACCAGATGGCATTATGAATTTGAGAATGACAGTAAATATAAATTCAGTAACTCTGCTCCAAGGATATGATGATAGTTTTTGCTACCTCTACAAAAAAAATCATTGAAAGCTGGAAACAGAAATCTTGTTTTCCCTTATTTCTATTTTTAAAAACTTTTAGGTTAGGAGCTGGAGAGACGGCTCAGCAGTTAAGAGTATTTGTAGCTCTTGCAGAGAACCCAGGTTTGGTTCCCAGCACTCACATAGTGGCTCACAATCATCTGTAACTACAATTCCAGGGGATTTAACAAGTTCTGGTTGCCTCCACAGGCAGCAAGCACCAGGCACACACAGGGTGCACATATATACATGCAGGCAAACACTCAAAGATATAAAATAAAAATAAATAAATCTTTTATTAAAAAACTTTAGGTTAAGATACAGAGTAATGTGCTTTATTGTGGCATCCTCATATATATGGGTGATTATGCTTTGTTCTCATTGTTTCCTCCCCCAATCCCCTCCCCAGCACACCCCTCCAGCTGGGTCCCCTGGTACCCCTCCAGATGGGTCCCTCAGCACACCCCTCCAGCTGGGTCCCCTGGTACCCCTCCATCTGGGTCCCTTTCTTCCGCATTAACACTCTCCCCTGCTTCCCTATCACATGTATTCCAGTGTCCTCTCCACCTCTCATCTTCCTTAAGATCTCTTCCTTTCTCTCATGATCCTCAGGACTCATACCTGCACACCACACACACACACACACACACACACACACACACACACAAAACTTTAAATTTAGGTTTCACATATGAGAGAAAACATAATATTTGTCTTCTGAGTCTGACTTATTTCACTTAACATAATGTTTTCTCTTTCTTATTATAGGGGAAAATTTAGTAAGTTGCTTATTATTCAAAATTTAAAACAGATCTAAGGAATGCAATACTTAAATCATAAAACAGGAACCCTTAATTGGCCTACATCACAATAACAATCTTGTACTTGAAATATTTTTACAAGAAAATTCTATGCAAGGTGTTTTAATTTATGCACTTTCCATATGGTAAAAATGTTTCAGTCACTTCAAACATTTGTAAACTATTCCACTAAAAAAGAAAACCCAGCAAAATGGAGTTCTCATCTGTTTCCACAGGATAAGGGCATTATAGGAAAAGAAATCCAAAGATTTATAGCCATCAGGAACTTACACTGCCATTGCAACTATAAAAACACAGCTGCAAGAAACACACAAAAGGCTAAATACCTGACAAATAATTGACAGAATAAGCTCACGACTGACAAGTACAACCCAGTGACATTTCAACCATACAAACCTTATGAATATACAGAGCAGGAGTCATTCATGAATATTGTTTGATTTAGAGATGAAGCCACATTAACAAAACAAAGAACAGATTTCTGCCACCATCCTACAGATACAGAGAAAACATGGTAAAATTTACCCTCCAGTTATGTTCTTAAAACTCAGAAAACATAGGCCGGGCGTGGTGGCGCACACCTTTAATCCCAGCACTTGGGAGGCAGAAGCAGGTGGATCTCTGTGAGTTCGAGACCAGCCTGGTCTCCATGGTAAATCCAGGACAGCTGGGGCTACAGGGAGACCCTGTCTCAAAAAGACCAAAAAAAAAAAAAAAAACCCAAAAAACCACCTCAGAAAACATTAGTAAATATGTGTACTGTTGAAATATTAAAACCCTTCCTCTTGGGTTGTTAAAAATAATAAGAATGCCCAGTATAATAGTTCAATTCAACATAATACTTTCTAGACTCATCCATTTTCTACAAATGACATGATTTCATTTTTCTTTATAGCTGCATAAATTCCATTGTGTCTATACACATTTTCTTTATCCATTCCTCTGTTGATGGGCATCTTGGTTGCTTCCATTTCTTGGCTGTTGTGAATAGAGAAGCTGTAAACATGTATGTGACAATCTCTCTGTGGTACCACTTAGACTCCTGTGGGTATATACTCAGGAGTGGTATATAGTTGGGTCCTATGGTAATTCTCTTTTCAGTTTTTTGAGGAACCTCTGTACTGCTTTCCACAATGGCCGCCCCAAGTTTCATTTTTATATTTATAGCTATCAGACATATACTATTGACTCACAATTTTTAACTTTCAGCTATTTTTTTCTGACTTTATACTACAGAAGAAAACCTATCCTCTCACACTACCCCTATCCACCTACCACCCACAACCACAGACTTCACCCGTCTTAACACCTGGATTGTATCACATTGATGCTTGCGTTATTATGACTACTCCAATTCTCATATTAAGTATGTGATATGGTAAGAGTGTATGTTCGTAGCCAGGCATGGTGGTACATGGGGGTCGAACTCATATCACCAGACTTGTGAGGCAAGAACTTTTACCCACTGATCCAGTTTCTCAGCTTGTATTTTTTATCTTTAGTGTTCCGAAACATCATAATGACTTTTCTTCCTTAACTTATAGTTTCTAGAATATTTGCTCATTTGAAGCTTTTTAAAAATACTTTTCTAAGCCAGGCATGGTGGTGCTTGCCTTTAATCCCAGCACTCAGAAGGCAGAGCAGGTGGATCTCTGTGAGTTTGAGGCCAGGCTGATCTACCTGGTCTACATAGTGAGTTTCAGGCCAGGTGCAGAGAGGTCCTGTCTCAAAAAGACAAAAAAAAAAAACCCTTTTCTAATATTTTATTTTATTATTTTTATTTTATTATATGTGCGTATGTGTAAGTGCACCCGTGTCATGCAATGCCCACGGAGATGAGAAGAGGGTGTCAGATCCCCTGGAACTGGAGTTATGGACAGTTGTTAGCTGCCATGTGGGTGTTGGGAATCAAACCTGGGTCCTCTGCAAGAGCAGTCAATGCTTTTAACTACTGAGTCATCTCTCCAGCCCTGCAATTGAATCTTTGACCCTTGTATCATTTTAAGGAATTCTTATGATGAGGACTATTTTTCACTTTCTCGAAGCTCTTTCCATCCTGACTTTCCCTTTTTATAGCTTTCTGCATTTGCTTCATGAATGCTTCATTTTCTTTTACATCTTTAATGATATTGTGGCTTGTAAAAAAATTTCTCTGTCTTGTATCGTCTCTGAATTTTTGGAGTTTATAAGTCTTTTGGTTTCTACTTTTTTAAATTAAAGATTTATTTATTTTTATTTTATGTTTATGAGTGTTTGTTTGCTTGCATGTATATATGCCATGTATGCTTGGTGCCTGTGGAGTTTAGAAGAAAGGGTCAGATTCCCTGGAACTGGAGTTATGGACAGTCGTTAGCTGCCATGTGGGTGCTGGGAACTGAACCCAGGTCCTCTGCAAGAGCAGCCACTGCTCTTAACAGCTGAGCCATCTCTCCAGACCTTTGGTCTCCACTTTTTATGATCTTCTTTCAAATATTTGATGGCTTCTGGCTGGTTGTCCATATTGGGAGTGATGCATGAAACTGACTTTCAGTTCTTGGTGAGCACTTGGCCTCACTGTAGGGCTTTTGTGAGCATCCCAACATTAGGGTTTACGGTAATTTTCTTGAATTGATTGGATTCTCCAGAGAAAAGAACCTTGCTTTCTGCTTCTTAGGAAGAATAGTTCTAATAGTCAGTCTGAGTGGTGCACAGAGACTGTGACTTCCTCTTCTGGGATACAGGATTTACAGGATTTATTTCCTTGTGTGGGGGCGGGGGATACATTAAGGCAGAGTCTTACTCCGTAATCCAGGCTCACTTCAAGCTAACAGCAGTCCCCCTGCCTCAGCCGCTGGGATCGAAGCCATGAGCCGCCGTGTTCATCTTACTCTGTTTTCAGTGTTGCTTTCTGCCTTCCCCCGGGTGTGGCTCCCTAGACTGTGGTATTGTTCAGTTCAGCCTTCCTGGACAGAGTCTGGGAGGAACCACAGTGGCACCTCTATTGAGGGAGACCCAGTCTTTCTGCTCTCAGCCACTTTCAGTGATGCCTGGTGTCTGACTGCTAAGCCTGCAATTCGGCAGTGCACTTCAGCTTCATCTGAGCTTCTACCACAGCCAACCCGTGTCCAGCTTTCCTTGTTCAGTTAGGCCAGCTCCTGCTCAGCACCAAGGCTGTCACACTATGTTCGTTCTCTTCTATGAGTTTATGGGTTAAAAACCTCAGGAATGCCGCTTCATTGGGATTTTGGAAGGAGGGGAGACACAGAGATGCGTTCAGTTTGCCACATGCAATCTTACATTCCTGGAAATAGTTCCATCTTTCACATGTTTACTTTAGTGTTTTAGTTTGGGGACTGCATGCCACAAATATTTATGAAAATTGTAATAGTTTCTCTTCCCTTGTGGTGTGTTTATTTTTTGGAACTACTTTAGGTGCCTGGCTGAGAAGGCAGGAAATGTTGCATTTTTGAAGGACTCCACTGTCCTGCAGAACACTGATGGTAGGTGATGATGTTTGCCCTCCCCCTTCAAAGTAGTCTTTAGGGCTTCAGAGATGGCTCAGCAGTAAAGAGCACATAGTGCTCTTGCAGAGGACCTGAGTTCAATCCCCAGCACCCACTTCAGGCAGTACACAAAGCAGGCTTTAGCACTGTATCACATCCTTGTATTCAGATCTGCAACTGGGAAGGTAGCACAACAATTTTTAGACTTTTGACTAAAGAATTGCAAAGTCTTTTTAATTGATATTTTGTTTGGTTGGTTTTGGTTTTTGTTGTTATTGTTTGTTTGAGACAGGGTCCCATTTTATAATCCAGACTAAGCTGGAACTTACTATGTAGCCCAGACTGACTTGAACTCATGGCAGTCTTCCTGTCCCAGCATACTGAATACTGGAATTGTAGGCATGAGCCACTGCAACTGGTGAATTCTCAAATCTTTATCATGGTGCTGTGGTTTTCAAGCAATTCACACTCATATATATATACACACACTACACACACATACCACACAAATACACATACAACACACACACACCACACACATGCATATATCATATACACACCCACACATACCACATATACTCCCACACCTACATTCCATACACACAGACACATAACACATTACATACATACCACACACCACATACACAACCCCCAACCCACACACACCTCACCAACCACACTCAGTAGAAGTTGTGTTCCTGGCTTTGTACAGTGCTCTACAGAAACTCACCATTTACCTCTACCAGATCACATGTGTTTATGAGAAACCAAGTATAGACAGTAATAAAAATATACAGTCAAGTTTCTCTTTGAACAAAGGAAATAGAGGCCTCCCTCAGGCCCATGTAAGTCTTTGGTCTGGAAACCCCTTGGGAGTCTGTGGGGTCAAAATCACAGGTAAACGTAGATGACGAAAGATAACCTACCAGCCATGTTTGAACAAGCACCCTCTCTTCTGGTCTCTAGATTGAGGGAAAAAAATTCAACCCTCGAGAGCCATTTGCTACTTTTTTAAAATTGTACCTCCCGCCCGGCGTGGTGGTGCACACCTTTAATCCCAGCACTCGGGAGGCAGAGGCAGGCAGATCTCTGTGAGTTCAAGGCCAGCTGGAGCTACAGGAAGACCCTGTCTCAAAAAGACCAGAAAAAAAATTGTACCTCCCTCCTTAGGCTTCCTCTGTCTCCCCAACTCAGCCTCTGCAGGTGACCTGCTGTTTTCACCCCCGCCTTCCACCTCACTCCTTCAGTGGGCTCATCACTCAACCCCCCTTTTTCCTTTCCTCCTTCCTGCCTGTTTTCTTTGGGCAAGGGATGGAGAGGTTAAGACATGATCTCAGTGTCAAAATGTGGATTCCAGGGGGATAGTGAGGTGTTTCCCAACACGAGAGGCAGGAGAGCCAAGCACAGGCTTGGCCAATGAGCCTGCGTTTATGAGCCTACAGTTGTACCAGGAATTTATGACAGTCAGTCAGTGTGATCTTCAGGGATCAAATGGATGTCAAATTCAATTTTAAGGTTCTCAGGTCCTTTATGCTTGCATTATATTAGAATTAACTAAACACATTTGATAAGCCCGCAGAGGTTCCCATCTTTTCCTGATGCACTAAAATTAGAAAGAATTGTTTTTTTTTTCTTTTTGAAAATCTGAAACTGGAAATGCCTCAAAATTGGAAACTTTTGAACATTGACATGTTACCCAAGAAGTGAGAAATCTTGCCCTTGACTTCCTGTGATGAGTCACAGCCAAAATGCAGTCATCCTGGAAAACTTCAAAATCACTTTTGGGTGACATCGGTAATGTGTATATGAAACACAAATGAATTTTGTGTTTAGGTTTAGGTCATTGTCCCAAGGTATTTCATTATGATGTATATGTAGATGTTTTAAAAAGTGAGTGAATAGGGCTGGAGAGATGGCTCAGCGGTTAAGAGCACTTACTGCTCTTGCAGAGGACTCGGGTTTGATTACCAGCACCCACATGAAGGCTATGAACCAGCCTTAACTCCAGTTCCAGGGGAATCCAAAGCCCTCTTCTCTGACCTCCGTGGCATTGCACAACACGGGTGCACTCACTCACATACATGCAGGCAGTACACTAATACACATAAAATAAAAATAATGAATAAAATATTTAAAATGTGAGTGAGCAAACTCCAAAGCTGAAGTACTGCTAGTATCAAGGATTTTAAGTAAATAATATTCAACCCGTTTTATTTTGGAACCCACTGGAAAATATGGCATAAGTGGAAGTTTTGCTTTTTTAAAAGACGGGAGGTCTAGAGATATAACCCAATGGGTAAAATGTGTGCTGTGCAAACATTAGGACCTGAGTTCATGTGAAAAGGTAGGTGAGGTGGCATGTGCGTGTAATCCCAGCAGTGACAGAAGGGTGGAGGCAAGCAGTTCCCTAGGCCTTGCTGGACAGCCATTCTAGGCATTACTGGGCTCTAAAATCAGTGAAAGACCCTGCTTCAAAAAAATCAGGGGAGGAGTGATTGAAGAAAAACATCTCGATGTCAGCCTCTGGCCTCTGTATATGACTGCTCAGGCAAGCACACCTACACACACACACACACACACACACACACACACACACACAC